CTACATCGGTGAGCAGTTGTTTACATTTTAACTGCGACAAACGAAAATCCGGGTATTACAATCGACGTGCTAGCATTCGTTGTGGTTGCGTCGAAGAAGAGGGGTGAGAGTAGGAGAATGATGGTAGCAAAGCAGGGACGGACTCATAAATTTTTTCGAACGGTGACACCATTTGACCATAAGAAAATGACATTAACAGGATTTGAACTTGGGTCTGGGGTGGAATAAAAGTCTTGCAAACCAACTCTACCAAATAAAACTTGTTCTCATTGTAGTTTCAAAATACATATGGTGGCACACAACAAATTAATACGGTTACACCGTTCACGAAACTTAATTTCTTTACTCTTCAGCGGAGAAATAATATGGTGGCACATGCCACCTATACCACATAGTTGGGTTCGTCCATGTAGCAAAGAGGCCCCAATGCGAGTTCTCTTAAGCTTGAATAAGTCAAGCAGTAACAAAAAGGGGGAAACATGATCATGAAGAAGCAACTAGTAAAAATTGTATTTCAACGAGTTTTTTTTTACTAAAAACTGTAAATTTTATTAAAAACTAGTCTACGAATCTAAGAGTCAGATCATTGGTAAGAGAGATGGCACAATAAACATGGATGCATGAGCGGACTTACTCTATCCATGCCACCGCATCATTCCTCTGCCGTAATATAAAAAATTATAGGGTCATGAAAAGTGTCACCATCTTATTTTATTATGTGCCACTGTATATATTTTAAAACTAAAATAATAATGCAACTTTTTCTCCGTAGAGTTGGTTCGCATGGTTTTTCTCCCACCTCATACTCGGGGGTCAAATCCTGTTTGTCTCACTTTCCTTAATTTTTAGCTTCAAATTTTAAATTTATTATGTTTCTGAATTCTCTTTTTAATAACAGACTCAAACACAAGACTACATGTGAAAAACAAAAAACTAACAGTAGACCAACGATGATTTTATAAAAATATCCATATCTTTATTTCTTATAAATAAATGGTACAACTAATTTTAAAAAATTAGGTATGCCTTTGAATGCATACATGTATGTGACTCAATGATTTGATTTTCAACTTATAGGACGGAAATCCATTAAATTTAAAGTTAGCAATTTCATGTTAATAGTGAGAAACCTTGTCTCACATAGAAGAGCCAAGGAAACCTCACTCATTTCATATACACCAATCCCTGAGCATAAAATGAATTAATTAAAAGCTTGGACCTTTGTGTGTGGTGTTTGATGGTGGGCACTCCTTGATACATATTTAAGGTCAAAAGATGGGCCTTGGACTTTAGGGTCTCTCGATCTGGTATGACCCGAACGACATTTGTTTCTTTCTCCTCGTATGCATTTTTTTCTCTCAACTGCCGCATACAGAACAGGGAAAAAAAACTGCTCTGGTTTCTCTCTATTTTTCATACAACATCCATCACCAAACATAGATTAATTTCGCCAGATTCAAGTGCAAACTTGAATTTGATTGTTGTATCCTCTAGACAAACGCCAATTTTACCGGCGAATTTTTGTCTTAGTACACTGCGATTGTGCAGGCCTCAATCGGGATCAATATCACGAAGAATCTGCAATATCGAGTGTGTTTCTTCGATTCTATCCTTGTAGATGTTAATTATGTTAATTACATAGATTTGTATTACTAGAATCCTTTGTTTATCCTACAAATTCTTTCAATTTATATAGATCTTTCTGTTTTGAATTGATAACTCCTAACAGTTATATATGTATGAATATCGATGCATGTTGTGTGCATACAATATATTGATTTTCATTTTAAAACTTGATTGTGTATAATTTTATCATAATTTTTACGAGACATTTATTTTGTCTTTGTTTAATTAATTGTAGCATCATTGGATGCATTTTAAAATGCATCTTTATACACATGATACATGTCGGATCTAACATGAATCTCTTCTTATTTCTTGAAAAAAGTCGGGAAAATGGATTTTCATTTTTAAGTAATTATTTTCTCGAACTACTTTCTTTTAAAAAAAATATATGGACGTTTAGAACTTATTAAGTACATTCTTATCATTTAAATGTAACTAACAAGGCAGATAAAAACAAGGATTGAAAAAGAAAACAAACAAAACCTAAATCAACATATCGCCATCACCCAGAGCATGTGTCGTCGCCACTAGCAAACGTCTTCGTCATTGTCGCCACTAGTAAACGTCTCCACCAGCCCACGACATCCCCTCCGTCTCCGGCTGACCCTAACTAACTCTTTTCATGAGCTCAAATTCAATTCTTATCTTTTCATCTCATGTTAGATAGTTTTGACCAATCATCCTTATTTATGTTTTCAGTTGGGTTCTATGAAATTTATATAATCTTGTTTTCATTTGGGTTCTATACAATTTGTACATTCTTGTTTTCACTATATAGTCTTGTATACGGAATAGGAAAAAATGATGTAGTTAATAGTAGGGATACCAAAAGAACCCAACCAATCCAACCAACTCAGTCCGAAATAACTCACCAACCCAACCAAAAGCTACTCGATACCTAATCAAGTTATAAAATATTCAAACCGTAGGCTAGTTGGAATTGAGTCAAGACTATATGAACTCAACCGATGACTTTTAATACCATGAATTTAATATAACTGTTAAGTCACCGGTCAATATTTGTAATTGATAGGCTTAACAGAAAGTCTCGTACAAATTTCTTTTAATATCTCTTATGTAACTGTTAGCTTTATTTGTACGTTCTTAATTTTATTTCAGTTCGTTTAAACATAACGGTTTAGCTATATCCAAACAATGTATCAAAGTTTTAACCTGACCAACTAAACTCGTACCATTTGTATTGGGTTAGGTTGGATTGCACTTTTGTTTGTGTCGAGTTTAATTATTTAAATGTCTTCAACCCAACATGTAACCGTATTTACTATGTTTCGAAATGTGCAATGTTAAAGAATCTATACTATATTATAAAGCATTTGGCTAAAACTCTTAAAAACTCTTAAAACTCTTAAACTCTTAACCTCTTAAAAACTCTTAAACCCGTTCATCTCTATCCGATTTCATCCCATATCTGAATTCATGTAACTAACTGCAGATAAACACAATCAAATACAGGATAAACATCTCATTTTAAATATAAAAAATCTAAAA